GTTGCCGCCATGTGATTGGCTGATTAGAAATTAAGTGTTAACCAGCAGTTGGACAGGTGTACCTAATAAAGTGGCCGGTGAGTGTATATATATATATGAAAAAAATTCTAAAAATGCAAGTACAAACACAATCACAAAGAAAGCAAAATGAACACAGAATAAGTAATAAAGTATTCCAGGGGATAGGCTTCTACAGTAAAAAACATTTAGTACAAAAAACATTGTGATAAAGTAAATATCATCACTGATCTACAGAATTCATATGTTTACAGCTTTTATGTTGAAATAGTGGACAAACGTAGCTCTATGTCCTTAACCAGAACTGGGGGAAAAAGGTGAAAATGATGAAAATTTACATTTATGAATATGAAATGCTCCAAATATGATAATTAGATTAAATTCCAGTCTTCGGTTTGTATAAATATGAAAACTAAAATAATATTCTCTCTTAATATTATATTTTTCTGTGAATTAATAGAGTATAACTTCTTCCAGCAGGGGTCGCTGTGGCACAAAGTTCACCGTTTTCAGCACCTGCCGACAGGGGGCGCTGTTTCCCCGCTTACAGCTCATTAGCTCCGCCGCGGTGGCAGGAGGCACCGTCAACTGAGAGGACTCACAGATCAACTAGTAATCTCCACGGCTGTATTCTGGTCGGACACAAATCGATACAGCGTCCCATTTATTTATTATTTTTTTTTACAGGGATATAAACTTTGAAGGCCATGGCGCCGGACGCTGCCAGCCCGCGGACATAGGCGACACTGCGGAGGAGAAAGTATCGACCACACAGAACCCACAAAGAAGAAAGCAGCTGGTGTGTTTTTTTCACGCTCGGAGGCGAAGACGGCATCCGGCCTGAAGAGAAGCTCCGAGGTCGGGGAGTCGGCTCGGAGCGGAGCTAATCGCTTCTGGTGAGAGTCCGCGCACACGTCTCCAGTCAGCCTGCATGAATTCAGCGCAAAGTTTAGAGGCTCGCTGGCGGACATGTCTCCGCGTCAGTTTCTGTTCAGTTTGTCTTCAGACGTGTGTAGCTCGTTGCCGCTGAACTACTGTCAAAGTAAAGTTGAAGGAGGGTGGTGGTGGGTGATTTCTGGCCCGGTGAGTTCATAGTTAAACATTAGTGTCAGCTTTGTTGTTCCACACCACTGAGAGCTGTACAAACAGTCAGGGAGGCTGTCATTGAATAATAATGTCAGGATCGGGCTGGGTTGTAAAAAAATGAGTGACTGGCTGCTCTGCATATATATCATCTGGCACTGCTGCTACCAAAACATCCAGTGACCCACATTTCACAGATGTTCTGTCTCTTTCTGGATGAACTTGTGGGAGCTGTCAGAGCTCCCCCACAGCCAGGACGAACAGCTTGAACCAGTCTGAGCTGCTGTATGAAGGCCCGGACCAGGAAGGAGCCTGCAGGGCAAAACCCTTGGAGTAAGACTCCTTCAAGTGCCTCAGCAGCTCTCAGTGAATTCCTGAACTGTGGTTTTCCTCCTGCAGGGGATCCACCTGAGTCAGAGCTTTGCAGCTTCGCTCAAAGGAGGACCAGCTTGTGATCAGGACTCTCATCAGACATGATCAGTGCTGACTTTACTTCCCACCACTCAGAGAGTTAGGACAGCCCCTAAAAACCCAAATGATTTCTTCTTATCTTGTGGGTTGAAATGCTGGGTATCTGCATTGATCATGTAGAAGAAAAATACCCAGAATCCCATTTGTCACCTAGTTTTTTTACATCATGTTTGAGAGATTGTCCGCATATAATTTTGATCTTTTGTTCTACATCAAACAAAGTTGGAATCATAAATACTTTATTAATTTCTAGAGGGAAATCCAGAGTTTTCAAAAGAAGCAACGAATAGAAGATAGCAACTGAGTAAAGGTACATAAAGTAGATTCAGGATAAAATAAGATACAGAATTGCACACAAAAGATGCTCCCCCCCACAAAGGAACAAAACAAACAAACAAACAGCTTTTTAGCCAACCTTTTAACTGCTATAGATTCTTTGTTTCAATAGACCATGTGAATGTGCAAAGCATCATGGATAAACATAGAGCTTTCTGTAAAAACACCACAGTTGCTGGGGGCGCTACTCTGCGAGCGACTCCTGACACGGCTCCCAGTATGTGCGTCTGAAGATTTTTAACATTTTTAAACTACTTTTTCTTAATATTTTATTGTCATTTTGATCACCAGGATGTTATCAGCAACAGTATTTTATATTTAACAGTTGCTTTTAACAGTCCTTTCTATGTGTTTTTATGGGTAGTTGAGTGCATGGATGCTGTTGTTGGAGTCCTGTCGAAGAAAAATTTCTGTCACCATCTGGGACAGACGATAAAGCTATTCTATTCTATTCTATTCTATTCTATTATAAATTCATCTGGTAAATTTTTGTTGTCAAATAAAACTATTTTTTTGCTCAAACGTGAGAGTTTATTTACATCTTTGAGCGTTAAGTTTGCTTTTTGAGACGGTGTTTAGATCGCAACAACTGCTGGATGTAGTAATATAGTAGGTACCAGTAGGACTTGAAATATAGGACTTGAAATGACTTGAAAATATTTTGAATATCCAGTGGTTTGCTCAGTTCATCTATGTGGGAAAGTGCAGATAAGAGGAATACATTTCAAAATAAACGGAAAGACCAGACAATGAAAGCAGTAATTATACTGGATCAAAGTCATGTTAAAACTAAATTTGTCACAAGTTACAAAATTTATTATTTTTTTGGACGGACAGAAAATAGTTTAGTCTCAGCCAGGTGTTTTCCTATGATGGTAAACTTGGTAGAGTTGGATCAATCGATCAACTTAATTGGTCAATGATTTTAAGTGAGAATGCTCTTCTATGAATTGTTTTTAAGTACAAAAGTTCTTCACGGATTACTAATTTTGTGTTTCTTTTAAGTAATTATTGTTTTGTTAAATGAAAAATTGGACAAATATCAGCCATCAACTGATTTCTAAAGATTCTCATTGGTCTCAGGCCCAATTAAAAACCTGTACAGGTCGACCCTTGCTCTCAGCTCCTGCGTCCTCTTTGCTCGAGTATTCACTATTTTTTTTAAAAACGTTGCTTTCAGATTACTCTTTGTTAGCTCTAGCTTAGCTCTGACACCTCTTGTATTTCCTCCACCCATTTAATCATTATTTAAATACACTGCTCAATTTATGGTTGTAATTAGGTACAAGAACTGGACCGAGTGAACAAAAATCCCTCCTTTTCTTTAAAAGCCCTGCAGAAAACATGAAATATCAGCTGAGACTATTTTAAAAGATTACAAAAAGGTCTGACTTGGATTCAAAATGTAAATAAAGAAAATGGTTTAAGACTTTTTCACAGTGAATCACTTAACTTCATAAATGAATCATGATCTCAGTTATATCTTAGAGACTTGAAACAAATGCAGAGTTTTACATCCATGTCGTGAATCATATTCAAGAAGAAACATTTTATTTTCAGTTTAAACTGGACGACCGTTGAACTTATTTGATTAGATGATGTGGTTTCGTTTTGAGCCATGATCGTCTTTAGAGTCATTTTAGTTTTTTTATTTTCCTCTGAATGTACCAATCAGACAGGACCTACTGAGCCCTGACAGGTAAAATGAGTAATAGTCTTATTACAGCTCAGTGTGCGCCTGGGAAAACCTGCACTCTGACATCCACGTGGAGCTTCCTTTAACTCTGGTAGACCAGGACTGCAGTGGACCACTCAGAACTGACAGAAACCACTCACAGAAGTTTACCTGGCCTCTAAACTTTCCAGGTACTGAACACGATTATATCTGTATGAAACAATCCCAAGTTTCCATCACATCTATGCCCATTCCCTGACTGTTCAGACATGTTTCAACAGTAAAATGGGGCTCTACTGAATATTAGGTCGTAATATAATGGCTGCTTGTTGTCATTGTTTGGACATAATGTACCCAGAACTGTAAACTACAACTTTTAAATAGGGAGGTAACACAATACAGCAATATGTATCGATTAAACAATTAATAATTCGACTACATCAAAGCAAAACAAAAACATCAATCCACATCATCATATGCCCGATGAGGATCAATATATCATCACAGACTTGTGAATTAAACTGAATCAAAACCTTATCATGACAGATTTATTTGTATCAAGAAACATCATGTCATCAAAATAGATATATCGTATTGTCTTAAAGCAGGTGATTTACACCCCTGCATTTAAAAAGACTGTTAAACCAAGCAGTTTATAGTTCTTTACCCCAGCCCTCATCAGTCCATTCATTCCCTGTGACTTTACAAGAATATCAGTTTGTCCCCTGATGGTTTTCACAGACATGGTCTCTTTGCTGTCCACCAAGCATCTTTGCTTCACCATGTGTACAGTTAAGTAACCTGATTGTACCAGTGGTTCCCCCATCCCACACATTGTCCTGGCAGGATGGCACTTACTGCACTTTCCAGGTTACCCTGAAGCCTCCTTCACAACTGAGACTCTCCTTGAAGCTTCCTAATGAACTGATAAATGGTTAATTTAGGTGCAGTCTTACAAGCAACAATATGCTCCCTTGTAAAGCCCATTTAGTGCAAAGCAGTGATGACCATGTGTGTTGGGACCGTGTCACACTACAATATTTAAGACAACTTATGCCAACTTATGAGCATTATGTTATGACTGTTTTATTCATATTGGTAATTTATTTGATCTAATTGTTAGCGTTACAATCCAATCGAATCCATTAGATTTTTTTAAAGTTCCGTCTTCATCTTAAGAGACATCTTTAGTGTTGGACAAACGTTTCAGTGAACATGGCTACCAGAAGGGGAACAATCATTTCAAGCACCACTCTCCCTGTAAAGCATGGGGTCTCGCTACTCATAAGTCAGTCATCATGACAGAGTGACCCTTGTCCTCGTCAACACCTGAGTTAATGAGAGGATCTCTGAATTATGTCAGCAGATGTGTGGCGGGGCTGATGCACTGGAAGTAGGTTTAGTTTTCATGGCAATGAGGAACTTGACAATTAATTGCCATTCTGAAGTAACCGCCAAAAAATAAGCCAAAGCATCAAACTTTGACAATTAATGCCGTTCTCAAATTACAGCTGAACCTTTAAGCTGAGCTGCAGCAGCTTTGGCTCAGGAAACGTCATTGTTTTTGTGTTTTAGCTGCTAGTGTGTTGTGTTTGTTCTGTTCATTCAGCCAGTATTAAACTGTGTGTCATTATCAGCAAAAACAAGCATATCTGACCTGATCAGTTCATACCAGGGTCCAAAGATTTAGTCTTCTTAAGAAATTATGTGGAAAATAAAGAGAATGTGTCAAAAATAGAAGAATAAAATGGTCTGATCAAAGCATTAAGTTGTATATTAAAGAGTGCTTGGTACTGTAGATAAAAAATCAATATTAGCACGGTGAGGGCACAAAGTAAGGTTAAATCCTTAACTTTCTGTTCGTGTTTCTTAGTAAGTGAATGAAAAAGCACCTTCTTACACTTCCTGTGTGCAGTTTTACCACAACAGGCTGAGTTCTCTCACTGAGTGCTGGTAAAGGAGCACTTTTTCCAGGCTGCGTCCGTGTTAAGCTCGCAGTACCCTTGGGGTTCGTGGTGGTACCCTGATGGTTAGGGTGAGGCGCATTCGGAGGACGGTGTGGCCGTGTGTGTGTGTGTGTGTGTGTGTGTGTGTGTGTGTGTGTGTGTGTGTGTTTATGTGTGTGCTCACTTCATATTAGAGATGACAAGAACCGCTCGGTCCGGTCCAATAAAAAATTTCTGTTAGCGAGAGTCATCCCCAACATTTCATTGTAAAGTTCTTCTGATCCACTAATAGAAGAACTAGCTTCTCCTTTAGAGTATTAGCTTTGTTGCTAACTTTGCAAAAACAATGGCAACTAGCTAAGACCACCAAATAGCTAASTAACAG